TCGGGCACGAGGACGAGAACGAGAACAATAACAACGCCAGGACAATAGCTATAACTTTAACAACAACAACAACAACAACAACAACAACAACAACAACAACAACAACAACAACAACAACAACTAACTGGATAATTTGCAATCAGGTTTCTTAAATAACCACAATCAAACATTTGTGATTTTTCATTAGCTCTGCACCGGCGGCAGTCGCGGGGTGAAGGTAGGCCAGGACATATAACATGGCCCCATTCTTTACCATGAGAGAAGTCTGTAATGGGTGAAAAAAACAATATTAACATTATTATTATCATAAGGCATACCAATCTGGAAAATGATTAAATTAAAGTTGAATAAAGTGATATATTCCTGCCACAAGCTAGCATAAGTCCCAAACATATAGCTATTCTGACTTGGATAGACGATACCGGCGCACTTCTGCCAACGACGGGCAGCATTATGCGGGCTATACATCTTCTAAGAAGCTCAGCAACATAATAACTTTTGTTTACAAATGGACAACCTTTTTGTTGAGCACACAGCAAATGATACAAGATGCCTCACCTTCAATCAAGCCAAAGAGCAGTTGGGCAGACACACACAGTAATGGCGACGCAACACAAAATGGACGCCGGCTCCCGGATGCGGGGGGGGGGGACTCCTTCTGAAAGCAGCCACAGACTCCTAGGTTGTAACATGCGACGAGGATAGCTATGAGGCACATCCTCATAGCCATCCGAAGCCGCTTACCACGCAAGCTTACCAGCACGTTTACCAGCTGCAGGCGTTCGTGACAACAAGCGGGGTTGCACGCAAGGTTATCCGTTTAGTAGGTGCCAGCCGGGGCCTCGTCAGCTGAGCTAATAGCAAAATGACCTAATTGAGGGACACGCCAAAAGCTGGCCGAGAACAAGCCAACGGCGGGTAACACTGTGAGGCTGTGCGTAGTTCATTAACATTGCGCAAAATTAGGTTCCTGAACATGCTCTCGCTCGTAGGCATTTGTTCCACAAAGGGCATTGTTAACCCTCGCCCTGGCAGGGGGGGGGGGTCGATGCGACCCCCCCCTAAGGTTTTTCGAAGATAGCGTAAAAACGGCGGCGCGCAGCGCCGCCAAATTTGGCACAGCCTATGGGGCAACCTTTTTACATATGACCTGAAAATTTCAGGTCCGGGTGACCTTGGGTCAGGTCACCAGGTCAGAAAAACCGGTACAAGGTCATGGTCAAATTTCAATTTTCTTTTTGCACCTGTCCAACTCACAGTTTTTGACTGATTTCCTTCAAACTTTCAGGATGTGCTAGGTTCACCGAGTTGTATAACATATAGTCCGGCTTTTTTGAGGTCACTGACCTGAGGTCAGTTAGAGGTCATTACGTCGTAATGTTAAGCCTATGGGAAAATACTAAATTCGGAAAATACTGGAGATATCCGCTTCGTTCTATCACTTTTGTGCTTTGAAACCACGGTACTTAACAGCAGGTCACTTGGTGCTTCTTTGTTTGGTGTACTTATCCATGGGTCAGGTCAAATGAGGTCAACTGAGGTCAAATGACGTTTTTGCCGGCAATAACTTGGCACATAATGACGCTAGAGCTTCAAAAATGGTATCATTGTGTTCCTGGTGATCAGCCGAATCGAATGATATGCGATATGATGCAATTTGGTTAAGTTGAACTTAATTTATTAATTTAAGTTTACTTAAAATTTAAGAAAAACTTTAAGTACACTTAAGCAAGCTGAAAAGTATATCATTCGACGCGCCTTGACGTGCTGAGTTCACTGGTGCTTTCCTTTTTGCTCTATCTTAATTAGATCAAAAGTTATAAGCGAAAAACTTGTGACCTGTTTTTAGCGAAATTTTTACATTTATACCCCCCAAAACCCCCCTAAATATTGACCTAGAGCAACCAAATTTGCACAGGGGCGAGAACTCCAGGGGGCCCACCTACCTACCAAATTTGGTGTTTCTAGGTGCCATAGGAGCCAATCGCGAGGGGGGGGGGGGGGGGTCGCATCGACCCCCCCCCCTGCCAGGCCGTGTTATGAAAAATGCCCTGCCAGGGCGAGGGTTAACGTGCATGGCTCTGACTACTAATGTCCATATATGTTGTAACGAGGTGCAAGGGAGGCACTCGTAAAAAATGCCTAATTTCAAAATTAGCTAGTGAATTTTTTTACAGTGTACCTTTAAAGACATATTTGAAAAGATATAAGGAATAACCTTTGCCGACCTGTTGCCTGATGTTTGAACTTTGAGAGTGCTTATTAAGTTCCTGATTAAGCATGACTTTCGTCCAAAAGAAGCGCAATTCCATTTTCTTTCGCCGACTTTTCCTTCCCCGGCCAGGGGTAGGGGGCGGGTGCACCCCCCCCCCCATTGGGCTTTTTTCGCGATAGCTCGGAACAGCCGGAGATAGAAGCTGACACTATGTACATATGTCATCCTGATCTTTGATTCAAGCCGGATCTTCTGACACCAACCGCATTTTCAGGTCGGGTCAGGTCACTGACCTATGACGTCATAAGTAAACCCCTGCACGGTCCTGAAATGTCGCAACTTCGCATCGCCCTCAGTACAAGAGGAGCTTTTACAGGGAGATGAAACTTACAGGCCCTAGCAGCTAAAAAAAACCTGTATCACAAGTTGTATATCTCAAATGTTTCCTAAGGGTCACCTGCGTTCAGGTCGGCTATGTGATTACAACATTATAAATCAATGGGGGAAATATGGAAACTGTTAGGTATTTTGGCGCCGGCAATGATTTAAAGATATCTCAATCACATGGAATCATGCATTCCTTGCAAGGTCCGATGCTTCACTTTTGCATTGCTGACATTGCGTGACTCACTAAGCGCACAGGAGTTTCTCGTCAATAACTCACGATCAAATTGAGCTAGCGAGTCAGGAAAGCCACCAATGGACTCGGGAAGATGTGCCAAATCGATTATATGCAATATGACCTCCCTCAACCAACTTCGTAACCCAAGGGTCTCTGACCTGACTGTGACCCGAGGTCAACACCTTGTGTTTAATGTTGACCTCACCCGAACAAAAAGTATTCCGTTTCACGCTCCTGAGCCAGACAAACACGGTGATGCCAAAATCGTGGCTCAGCAACCATTTTTTGGTGATGTTATGTACCGAATATCGAGCTCGTGCCCTGGGCCACTTGATCTGATCTCAGAGGTCACCAGTTGACATGTGACCTTAAAATCGGGTACTTATCTCTGCGTCATAACGGCATGGCTCGTTTCTTCTGCGAGCATTCAGCTTCTAGCTCCATAAGGGGCGAAACAGCGACGGAGGGGGGGGGGGGGGGCAAGATTACTTTACTACTCGGGGGGGGGGGGGTCGTATCTTCCTTCGGCCGGGCCTATGTAAAAAAAAAAAAAACAATAGGCATGCACGTAGCCAGGATTTTGCTCAGAGAGGGGCCACAAGTCGCGGCCTAGGGACATAAGCCCTCCAAAAACGGAAAACTCCTCGGTTTTGGCCCACTATTTTTGGGGGTGTGGTGCAGCTGTTTTTATTTATCTTTTTTTTTATTCATTTTTTTATTTTTCGCCTTTAGGGGGGGGGGGCATGACCTCCGTGGCCCACCCCCCTTGGCTACTTCCCCGCCAATAGGTCCGGCGAGGGTTAAACCACGCCCCGCTGAGGATGGTGAACCTGCTAGGTGAGGGGGGATGTTTGAACACCTTTGGCCACGTAGCGACACGCCGTACCTACATGGGCAGCGTTCGAAAGAGCGTCAAAAATATTAAAGAAATTACTTCGGTCACTTTTTTGGTCAGATCAAATGCCGAGTTACCAGAAGTCATCGACGTTAAAATTCCACAAATTTCGAGGTCAAGTTTCCACAATTTTCGACAGAACGGCATAAAGCTCAGGAACGGAGAGAGCAACAGCGTCGCGGAAAAACGCATTCGATGGGTAGATCTTAACTCTCGCCGGCCGAATGGGGGGGGGGGGGAGGCGGATGCCGCCCCATAGTTTTTTTTCGTGATAGCTCGGAACGCGCCGGCGATAGAAAGCTGAAACTTGAGATACTATTAAAGCCGGATCTTTTGACACCAACTGCATTTTCAGGTCCGGTCCGGTCACTGACCTATGACGTCATAAGTTAACTTCTACACGGTCCTGAAATGCCGCAACTTACAGGGAGATAAAGCTTACAGGATCTGGTACCCTTGAGAGGTCTCACAACTTCTATATCTCGGATTTTCCCTAAAGGTCACATGAGGTCAGGTCGGTCGCGTGACCTAAACAAAGTCAATGAGGGAAATATGGAAACTGTTATTATAGCGCCGGGAATGATATCAAAGAAGTTAAAGGCATGTTATCGAAAATCACCGATAGAACGTTTTGTCTTTCACAAAAGTTGCTAAATGAGGTCAATGCCTACCAGAATTTTAGCCGTTTGATCCTAAGCGAAGGATGAACGGAAGTGTTTTTAGCGTACTTAAAATGACCGAAAATTTAGCATTTTTAGCATTTAATAACGACCGCCCCAGGAAGCACCGAACATCTTCACTGATTCATTCATAGGAGCACGGCCGGCCAGGGCTTCCATTTACCGCACGGTCATGTTTTCGCGTCATGTTTAATACAGACAACAATACGTACCAAAGGCATGGAAATAGACCAGGGATTGAGGCGACGTACCATCTTGTATTTTCCATCAATATTGCAGCCTGGCACATCGCACGGCCCGCTCAACATAAAACAGCGAAATCAGTAGGTATCTGAGTAACCTGAGAGCCAGCGTTGTTACGATCCGTAAGAATGCTGTATCATATCGTAATATATCGCAAGCAGAATTCATGCGCGCATATCTATAGTTACATGTTACGGTCTTTGATACCTTAGATTGTGTTAAGCATGCCTCGTAGGCTTCCGATGCGAGTTGCAGGTAGAAGCAGACATTTCTCGTGTACATGAGACGCAGCTGATTTAGATCCGCCAGTTGTGTCGGAAGTGGAACACATACAAAGATGATGGGCTGAGTCAGATCTATATTTTGATCTTTGGCATTTAACATTGCGCTCACAACAGATCTTCGTGACTTTCTATCCAGACACCATGTACGTAGCGTAGAGGATACAACAAAAATAAACTGAACATAACGGCTAACATACTGAACTGAATAAAATACCACAGATAACGCAGCGTATGCATTTAGTGCTGCTCCTCACCCTACCGCCATCTACCGACCCTAAACCTGTGGCATAAGCGACGCCTGGCGGACATAACATAGACGATGCTGAATATAGACAATGTTGCGCACAACACCTCACATTCGTTATCTTACAGTTTAGTCTTCTTCAATACTCTACGTTTTCTTCGTGTTTAAACTCCATATCACCACTAGACAACATTCAGTGAAAATAAAATACTGGCACCATCGATATGGTGCTGGGAGAAGGGCGGTAGCGGACGGCCAAACGTCACTGACTGCCGGTCAAACTGTCATAACAGCCAGTTAGTTGCTGGTACCCCTCGCCTCGCACTCTGGTCAGTCATCCCTTGCAGTGCTACACGCCATATGCATGGCTTGGCAGGAGCGATTGTTCTTAGTGCAGTCTGGTCCACAGGGCCTGATGGTCATACATGGATGCTGGACGTTCGCCACTAATTTGAGAGGATATCCCCCCTATCTAACTACCTACAGACGTTCCAAATGCGCGCTGTATGACAGCCAAGATTCAGACGACAGGGACATGCCTAAGCCAACTAGACACCTAAATACCTGAAAAGGGACCTTGTCAACTGATATCGCTAGACAAGGTAGACAATGACCGACAGACCGGTGCGAGCGACTTTAGCGAGTGTCATTTGAGCGAACGTCATTTGAGCGAACCATTTTCAGCGACTGGCAACTTAGCGAATATCAAATTGAGCGATTATCAAATATAGCGATTATCAATTTAAGCGAAAGCTATGTTTCAGCGACATCTTTTTCGTCGACTACAGTTTGAGCGACTGTCATTTCAGCGAAACACTTCATCGTCCCGTAACGGTGTTTTTTCCTTTTTCTTTTGCGAGCGTTCGTACAACGAATGTTTCCGGAACTTTTCATGGTGATCCGTAACTGGATGGCGGATGTCACATTCAATGTTCAGACATTAAGCTCCAAATTTAAAGCCACATTTCTCAAAAATTACAGCGGTTCGATTTCACCCCCCCCCCCCCACCTGCTGTTTGCCAATAATGATGACCAAACGCATACCAAACGTTTGTTCAGAGATTCATATTGCTTGTGCTGTTTTTCGCGAAATTCCCCCGCTTGAATTTGGATCAGTTCCCCATGTTGTAAAATTTGTTCTTGCCCCAAGCACCGTACGAATTTCCAGATATTTGGGTGAGGTCCCTGAAACATAGACTGGATCCCCCTGTGCCATCCCAAGAGTTTATTATTGGTCCTTGGCATTCCTTCCATCGTCCTATCTCTCACGTTCCACATTTCCCAGATCAAAGTTGCAGAATGAGCCCAGATATTTTGGTGGTTTCCAAGCTTAAAATAAAATTTTTAATTTGCCGCGCGCAGCTTGAAGCATGACACATACCAAGCAGGTTTTCCAAGGGCAAGAATTCCCGAAAAGTAGCAAATGATTGACTTCCGTCGCGTTCGGTTTCGCTGTAACTGTGTTCGCTCAATTGGTCCCCCATTGACCTCCATATATTCGTTCAATCTGGTTTCGCTGATTCTGGTCCTCGCTTAAGTTGATAATCGCTGTGATTGAATTCGCCGACTTGACAATCGCTGAAAAAGTCAATCGCTTAAATTGATAATCGCTGAAAAGGCTTCGCTCAAATGTCGTTCGCTGAAATGACGCTCGCTCAGGTGTCGCAGAACCCCGACAGACATCGCTTTGTAGCCTGGCACACGCTGTTATGGATAATCAGGTAAGCCCATTGACATCGTATACCCGCTTGGCATTAGACGGAAGCCATGGGTGCTGATCGGTAGCGCCTTCCATCTCCGGGTCCAGGATAGCCGCTCACCACTCATGGCGACAGCATTGCTACACTGCCGTGAGGTCCATTTGAGTCGGTCGGACTCACCGCGACGGCTACACAGGTGTTCAACTCACTCGGGGCAGGGGGCTGATCTCATGACTCCTGCTACACAGCTGTGCGACTCAAGGCGCCCTCTACACGGCTGTCTGGTGTCTGTGGGCTGGCCAAACTCACCGCACGGACTTATCTCCCGCGTCGGCTACACGGCTGTTCAACTCACGGCGTCTCCTACACGGCTGTAATCTCTGTAAGCTGGCCCGACTCACGGCACTGATTACACAGCTCTGATGTCCGCGAGCCGGCCACATTTACGAAACGGGCTACACTCACGACTCCGGCTATACGGCTGTCACTCACGGCCCCTCCTACACGGCTGTGATGTCTGTGAGCCGCACCTGACCGACGTCCACAGTCGGTGGAGAGGGCGGCAGGAGCTCGGAGGAAGCCGTGGGACCGTCGGCGTTACCCACAGGTGCGGCCGGCGCCGGCGTCTCCTGTTTGGCAGGGAAGCGCACCTTCTTGGGGCCGCGGAACCGGCGCGTCGACTGGTCGTTGAGGCTGAGACGGCTGCCGGCCACCTCGTCCTCTAACATCTCGGTCTGCTCGCCGGCGAACCTGGGTGCAGTGCAGAAAAAGCCCGTCAGTCAACTCAGCAGACAGGGCAGTTAGCAGAGAGATACGGAACTGAGTAAATACAAACGGTACTTAGCTCAGACACTTGGCACTCAGCACAAACACACGTCATTCAGCACATACGACTCAGACCAGACATATGACGTGATAGCACTGACACACAGCAACTCAGACCGGGTAAATAGCGCACAGCACTCGTAACCGAAAAATGTGTACTGCACTCGGCAAAAACGAAAAGCATATAAGACTGTAAAATTGACATTTTCAGCTGTGAATAGAAAAATGTCAAACCCGGGGCATTGCAATTACCTAAGTCAATTACTTAATCATTAGCTAACAAGCAATAAACCAAGTCGAAAGATGAACTTCAGAGTAGAAAATGCCATCTGCTACGAAAAGTACAGATCATTAATAAGATATTTAAAACCTTTATAGTTAAGTTTATGCATTGTCTAAACTTATCATCTCTCAGCTAAGGAACAATGACATTACCGAGCTAAACCGAATTCTCAGTCCACTGAATTAGATTCTGAAAAATACGACCGACACAAAGGTCATCGAACACTTACCTGACAAACACCTCGTCGAGGGTGGTCTGGTTGAGGGAGTAGTCCTCGACGAGTCGCTCGGCCCTCAGTCCCTCGAGCAGCTGGAACACGCCGGCCAGCCGCAGGTCCACGGACGGCAGCTGGTAGGAGACCTGCGAGTGGTGTTTCTCGCGCACCTCGCCCTGCGGCAGACTCTCCTGGAGACGGCGCTCCACGGCCGCCAGCTGACCCGGGTGCGCGCGCAGCGTCACCGTGTACCCGTCACCGAACCGGCTCTTCAGGTGCTGCAGGCTGCCCAGACACTTGAACTGGCCGTTGACCATGATGGCCAGTCGGGTGCAGAGCGCCTCGCACTCCTCCATGCTGTGTGAGGTGAGCACCACCGAGCAGCCCTGGCGCACCATGTCCGAGACGCAGGTCCAGAGCAGGCGGCGCGCCGCCGGGTCCATGCCGCTGGTCGGCTCGTCCAGGAACACCAGCGGCGGGTCGCCGATCAGCGCAATGGCCGTCGACAGCTTGCGCTTGTTGCCGCCCGAGTAACTCCCGGCAGTGCGGTCAGCGTGCGGCGACAGACCCAGCCGGCGGATATTGGTCTCCACCACGTGTGCCAGGCAGTCCGCAGGCACTCCGCGCAGTCGGGCGTAAAACTCGATGTGCTCGCGGCCCGTGAGGAGCGAGTCGAGCGCGTCAAACTGCGGACAGTAGCCGATCTGCTGACGCACACGCACCGGGTCGTCGATGACGCTGCGGCCGCAGATGAAGGCATCACCGTAGCTGATTGTCGTGTCACCAGTCAGCATTTTGAAAGTGGACGTCTTGCCGGCACCGTTGACGCCCAAGAGACCGAAGCACTCGCCGCGTCGCACACCCAGACAGAGGTGGTTGACGGCTGGAAGTCGTCCCTTCTTGTAGACCTTGGTCAGGTTAAACACGCGCAGTATGTCCTTGTCGGCACGTCCGCTGAGCACACGTTGTCGCTCTCTCTGCACATCAACGTCCATGTCGTCTGTTGAAATCGGCGCCATGGGCATGAGCTGTCGGCGTCGGCAGCCAGGACGGTATTCGATCAGCATAGTTAGCAGGAAGGCTAGCACGCCCTGGATCAACATGCAAAACAAATTCCGACCCAAGAACGTCCACTCAAATAGATCACGTTTCGCAGAAAATCCAAATTCTGCTAGCGTGTCTGCTCTCAGTTGGTTAGCGGCCATGTCCATCAGACCGCGGCCAAGACAGTAGTGTGGGAACACCAGGAACACCTTCTTCAATATCTCTGCAATCATTTGCAGTTGTTCGTCGTTCAGTATTTCCAGCACAAACGTGGCAATCGTGGTGACTATCCCGATGAAGAGGTTGGCACAGGCCAGGGTGACGAACGCTGACGCAGGCACAGTGAAAATGAAGCTGGCGGGATACATGAGCGGAATGCTTGACCAGCCATACAGCACCAGCAGCAGCAAGAGCCCTGGCAGGTTTCTCTCAGAAACGTACGCCTCTTCACCGAAGGCCAGGAAGATCGCGACACACAGCCCTGCCGATATTAAGTAGTTGAACATGTCCCACATGTACTCGGCCACCCAGTAGACTATTGGCCGTACGCCAGACACGAACTGTAAGTGTTTTGCCTTGCACTGACGTTCTTCGATCAGGAACAACGTGAACGATGCTGGCACGAAGCTCAGCGCGAAGATGACGCAGATGGCATGTAGGAGGCTGATTCCGGACTGTTTGCTGAGTTCACGACGTAGCTGTCCGCGAGTGAAGTTCAGCGGGTGGTTGATGGCCTCGATGCCATACCAGCGTTTCACTGACGAGTTGAAGCGAGACCGCAATAACATGTTGTTGAATGCGTTCATATAAGCAACGGATGAGGCCCAGCCCTTGTTGTTGTACCATATCTTCACGTTGTCCAGAATCTCAGAATTTTTGGCAAAGTCCTCCAGTTTGTCGAAAGCATCATCTGCTAGACCAAACGGCACATAGGTGAAGTTATCTGTTTGCCCATCTGTATCATTCAGTGATATATAGTATGTCTGGTTTCTAAGCTGGTCATCGGTGACATTGAGTAGTGCATCTCTTCCAACACCCAGCAATGCCTCTCCGATCCTTCGCACTGCTGCTCGATACCTGCTGAAGTTTGCTGTTGCGAACGGGTTGTTGTACCCGAACGTGAATCCACCCCAGCGGGTCTTGTAGAACTCGGGTCGCGACTTCACCAGCCAATCACTGACATTGCGATCTGTGACGTTCAATAGCAGCTCGCCTCCCGCCCCGGGTGCCTGCGCCGGTGCCGGCCCGGTGGCACCTGACGGGCACTCCATACTTCCAGTGGCGCATGAGCACTCAGCAGTTCGCACCGGTTTTCCTATTGCTGCATAGAATTGCGTACGAGCTGGCGGATTGCCGCATGTCGCGTTCTCTCTAACACATTTCGTTCCGATGCCCGGAAAGCCGATCAGCTCATCTTCATATCGTCGCGCCAGAGATGACTCGATGTGATCGTTTGCAAAGAAGACATAGAACGGTGGCTCATAAACCCACGGAGAGAGTTCCAGAGGCGGCTCCTCTTCCAGGGGAGGCAGGATCAGAGTGAAGAGCATCGACAAGCACACGAAGAACGCTGGCAAGATGATCTCGCAGAAGAGACCCTTGACGTTGCGCCGACAGTGATTGAATCGTTTGACGTGAAGAGCACACACGTGGCGAGCCCACAGCGGGGTGGCATAACCCGCGCCCCTCGAAGCCAGCTTGGCGGCAACCGCGCTTCGTGGTGGCGCTGGGCTCACTTTGGGAGGTGTAACTGGCGTGGGCGCTTCATCGTCGGAGAAGTTGGCGGTTGTCTGTGCCGCAAAAGAGCCGGAGTGACGACGCGTGTCAACGCCCTGCTCTTGTGAACCAGCCGGCGTGTTGAGCAGTGACAGCGAGTGACGTCGGAGATCACCAGTCCGTAGGCGCGTGGGGTACTTCCCGCCGTCAGTGATGCTGCTGATCTGCTGGCTGAGCACACGCTCACTCAGTCGGCTCCCGTCGTCGGCCAGCCTCAGGAAGATCTCCTCCAGAGAGGTGTCTGACAAACCGTAGCTGGTGATGCCGAGGCGAGTCAAGTTGTCGTCGAGCGCTTCAAGGAGGCGCTCCAGCCGCTCGGCAAGGCGCTGGTCGTTAGGAAGAACGTATGTCAGCTCTGTGCCGAAATTTTCCAACAGATATGCGCGCCGAACATACTCCTGAATGAAGCGAGTGACCTGTTCCTGGTCAGGACCGCTCGCACGCCGGTTACGATCAGCAGATGTGGTCTGCATGGTTTCAACACTCCGTGACGGATCGCCGGCGGGTTCACCGGGCCCATCCGGGACCTCAGTGTCCGAGCTGATACGGAGCGTCACCTGACTTTCCTGGAACCGTGCCAGAGTGAGGTAGTAGCCCGAGCCGAAGTTGCTCTTGAGGAAGAGGCTCGAGCCACAGCACTGTAGTTGGCCTTGTGCAATGATGGCGATCCTGTCACCGAGAATGTCTGCCTCGTCCATGAAGTGAGTGGTGAGGATGATGGTGCGGCCCGATTTGTACTTCATGAGTAGCTCCCAGATTGACCGACGGGAGTACGGATCCACCCCTGATGTGGGCTCGTCTAGGATGACCGTGCGCGAGCCACCCACGAAGGCGACCGCGATGGACAGCTTCCTCTGCATACCACCTGAGAGGTTTTTGGACAGCTCGTCTCGCTTGTGCGGTAGGCCAAGATCTTCAATCATACGATCGCTCTCTTCGTCGACTTCAGCCGGTAGACGACCCTTGAGGCGTGCGTAGAACCAGATGTGCTCAGCGACAGTTAGTTCATCGAATAGGGTATTGTGCTGGGGACAGATGCCAAGACTTTGACGAATCTGGTCCATCTCCGTGCGTATGTCGAAGTTGTATATTTTGGCAGTGCCCTTTGTCGGTGGAAAGAGACCAATCAGTATCGAGATGGTGGTCGTTTTTCCAGCGCCGTTATGACCAAGGAACGATGTGATCTGACCTTCGTAGAAGTTTAGGGACATGTCTTCAACTGCCACTTTCCCGTTTGCGTATACTTTGCGAAGATGCTGAACGGCTACGCCGAGAGGCAGGTTCGTCGGTTCCGCTTCAAACTTGTCATTTCCCATGCTGTCCGTCAGTGGCACGGCTTCTTTATCGGGTATTGTATGAGGCTCCACACCACACCAGTAGGAACGCATGAATGGGAAGAACCACGGCCGTGGTATGCCAAACTGGCCTGGGAAAACTGCTTCGATGTACCAGGTAAGCAGGCCGTACAGAAAACTGTCGAGCAGAAGCACGAACATGCTCTGCAAGAGGCTGAACTCGTCTCCCACAATCGGACTCTTGTCGATGGTCGACCACTGGATGCCGACACCACGCTCTTCGTAGTGTGCAAAGTAGGAACATCCGAAACCGAACGCGACGTTAGACAGTAAGCTTCCCAACAGCTTATGCAGGTAATCAAGGTGCTCGTCCCAAATGATGAGGAATGGATATGGCAGATAGGAGATGAAGTAGAGAATTCCACCAGCCGCTGCTGCCAGGTTTGCTTTGGAAAACAGAGTAGACAGCAAAAAGCTTAACGTGATGGTGGCCATGGTGAAGCACAGTAAGAACAGGAAGACTATGAATGGGTCCGAATTTTCCAGCACTTTTCCGTACACGAGGACGATGGTAAGCAGCACGTCGCTGACAACCATTGAGGAGAAACTGGTCAGGAACCATCCCAGCCAGTGCACTCCGTTACTCAGTCCAAGGATTCGCATCACCTCTTTCAGTCGCTGCTCCTTCTCGTACACAATAGACTTGACAATCATAGCTGACGTGTAGACCCAAGCTAGCACCATGAACAATGGGAACGTTCTTGAGATTGCAAGCACAAATTGATCATCGATGAAGCATGGGTACGGCATCTGATGAAGGTACACTCCAGTTTTCACCTCTTCGCCTGTCAATTCTTCAATAATACTGTGCTCTAAAATATCCTGCATGTATGCAAAACCATAGGTGATGTACTTCAGATCTTGGTAGGGCCACTGTCTAGGCCCCATTCGTGTCATTCTGTCCATGATATGCTTCGTTGAATCAACACGATCGCCGTCGACGCGTATTTTATATCGCACGTAGGTGGGCATTGTTTCTGCGCCTGGCTCTACGTCCATGAACACGACGCCGGCCCAGAGCATGTTCTCCGCTGTCAGGTTACTGCTTCGTCTCACCAAAGCGTGCTCGTCCGACAAACCTTCGAGCTTGTTCAGCTCAAAGCAAGCCAAGTAGACGCTGGCGTTCACTGCCACTTCATCTGCTGTGTCAAACAGCTGTGACCAGCGCTCCTCGGATCCAGGACCAATCAGGAGCGATAAGCGCTTTGTCAGGGAGTTCAAAGTTTTGTTATTGGCGGGCACAGGTAACAGAGGCAAGGATTGGAAGGCGCCCCAGGTCTCCGCCTGACGCCACACCGCCTGAAAACTGTCCAGTCGCCGCACTATGGATAACACACGCTGTCTGTACCACCACGAGCGATCCGGCCACTCCTCCATGAACTTCAGTGTTTGTCGCACGGGCTCAAACGTAGCATTCACGCGCGTCATGACACGCTTTGTCACAGGTGTATCTGGGGCGAAAAGAATTTTACCTCGTACAAATGGCTTCACTGTCCGCCAGAAGAACTTTGTCATCCAGTTGCTGTCCAAACTGTGGAAGAGCTCGTTACATTCATCCGAAATGGATGTGTCATTTGAGAACTCCTGTTCCGGCATCTCGTCCATCTTGTCTTTGATAGCGTTGATGGGTGCCAGGCGTCGTTGTCTGCCACTGGGCATGGCCATGCGGGCGTAGTCCACGCCACACACAGCGCCCTGGAACCTCATCGCAAGCAGCATCGGCTGGCTGATGTTCATCGGCTCGCCGGTAACGTTCAGCGTGCTCTCTGGCTCGTCCAGGTTGACGGCTTCCGTCAGTTCAGAGACGTGTTCCAAGAGCCGGGAGAACGTGTCCAGTTCCCGCAGATCTTCAGACACCTGGCGACCGAGTCTGAGCACGGCTAGCCAGTCATCGGGCCGCAGTGCGCCGCCGCCGGACTGACGCACTACGCGGCCCAGCAGACGCAGCACCCTACGCCGTTCGACCAGCGCAATCAGCCGACCGAGCAGAGCCTGCTGATCGGCCACGGGCAGCGCACAGATCTCCCGCACCATCGCCGAAGTGGTGGCCTCAGCCGGGGACCGCAGAAGGTCGGAGAAAAAGCCGGAGTCGCAAAGAAGTCCGTCCGCTCCTGGCAGCGCCAACAAAAGACCGAGGCGATTCACGATTTCTGGCAGCTGTGTAAGAGGTACGGACGCTGCTAGGAGCTGTGTGCGTGCCCAGCGGCCATTTCCGATGCCGAACTCCTTCAGTAAGGCGTGGTACGCAGTCTTGTTGGTGATAACATCGCCGAGGCTGATGGAGCCGCGCAGCTCTGCTTGACCGGCCCACAGCCGCAAGCCTAGCTCCCGTAGCGAGGCTAGGTCGGTGGCAAAGTGACGCACGCTGCGCGCTGTCGACCGGTTGACGCGGAGCTCGAGTACAGCACCCACGTCATCCAGCAGTCGTGTCAGCAAGGCCTCTTTGTAGATCGCTGACGTTTCGGGAGGCACGCGCTCGTGGCATGTGTTGTTGAATGTGCAAACAAAACCACGAAGAAACTGCACTGGACCCGCTGATGGCATCGGCTTCGGTTCGAAGTGACATTCGTGCATGTTAAACTTGAGACCTCGGCTGCGTACCCACATCAGGATCAGAAATAGAAACATCGGCCAGAGGAGTTCGATCACCATGCGCACCTTTTGGCGCCGACGAAGAGTGAAATTTTTCCATAAAAGCAGTTTCAGCTGAAGGACCAGACCCATGGTGGCGATGCCGAATGTGTTGGCTGAAGATGAGCGTCACGGCGTTCTAGAGTTGTGGGAGCATTGTCTTGATTTTAGACGTGATGACCAGCGCCGGCAATCGCACCTGTTGAAGACAGCATCGCGTTAATTGACAGTTCTGAGAAGCGTAACAATGTTTACGTATTTTGAGGAATTTATTAAAAAAGGCTATTTCAAAACGTACAGAGGGCAAAAAGACGAGAAAAGGGCTGTTATGAGATAAAATTGTAATCACAGGATTCATAGATCCACAATGGCGCAATAGAACAAAACCTCCACATTTCGTCGTCATATGGTCAATTATGCGTAAAAGCACGCGTGCTCTATCAATGGCCACTCCCTTTTCTAGTCAGTGCAGTCATGCAACACGGCGGAGGATTGCTTGCATTCGGAGGGAAAAAATACAACTATTTCAACGTTCATTGAAAGACAACTTAGGTACTTATAAATTTCAAGGATTTTTTTATTGACCTTTTACTGAACCATCGCTTACAAATGAGAACTGAGAAGTACTAATGAGAAAGTAAGGTGACGAGTTTTGCTCGAAAAATAATACAACATTAAAACGAATTGAGAAATCAAGCTGTAACTTAAGTCGATACGTGCTTGCGTTGGAATCAAAAATATGTCTACTTACTTATATGAATCCCCCACCAACGACAAGCATCCCCCTCAACTGCTAGCTAGACACGACATGCCTGCTCTGGTTAAAACGGACACGAATTTGTTTTGGGGATGCAAGACCCGGTTATTCTGCGGCTGCGACGCGGCGCTCTCGCCAACGACGGAGGGACACTTATTTAATCTTCGTTCGTACTCGAGCCAGTAGGCGTGGATTGAATCGTCCTTGAGTTTCTATCCAGGGGAGATTCTGTCATGAGAATCACCATCCAAATGAATGGTGATAATACTTGCACCTAGCTCATGGCCAAAGGCATGAGTTGAGTTTGTATGAGAAACGGTCATCCCGTCTGCAACGTAACCATGATATCCCCACTCCCCCTAAAAGGATAGTCCAATGGTTCAACAAAGATTTAATTTCTTATTCTTTTACAAACGTCCCTTGTTCATTACCGCTATGCGGCCCAGGACCCTATTTAGAAGGAAAAGCATCAACACGCCCTCTCTATTAGTAAGCTTCAGAAAGCTTGTCTCTCCAGCCAATCGATGTGCTACGATAGGACTACCTCACGATCGCATGTGCCGCCGCGGTGCTATATAGTTAAATAAAAAATATAGTTAAAATAGAGTTAAATTTTCAACACCATTTACCGAGGGGTTTAACATCTGGGCCGCTCATGCTGCATTTACCCGTCGGTATACGGAGCTGGGCCGATTCATTTCGCGGTCGTCCGTAATGATTCTACGTGCATACGCTCTGACACTTCTGGAATGCACTTTCTCGGCATGGTAAGTAAATTCATAGGGCGGTAGAAACCGTTTATATTGAATATACCTACTAACGCAAAGATTGAAGCACAAAGGACCTCGTAAATAATTATTGTTACGTATTTTCTTTATTTCATCATAGCTCGATGATATTAGACTGTTTGAGGTGCCGATTGATCTGCGAAAAAAACTTTTTTAGGCGGTGCTGGAGCCAAGGCACGCAATTTTTAGATCAGGTCAAAGGTTATGTCACCAAGTCAAATTCCCAATTTAGACGTTCCTTGACGAATTCACCACTACCTTGTAAACCGATTGAGCTGCAACAGGCACAAAAAGCGTACAATATAGCTCTAAATTTAAAAATACACCCAAGAAATTCATCAGGTTGAGAACGCGTGGCATCTAACCAATCACTTTAACGACGGACCCGCCTGCAAGAGAAAAAATCCAAGCAGTAGTTACTAACCTGTGTGAGTCCACATGAGGAGGCGTGCGCTGCGGCTGTGGCCGCGCGTCGCGAGCACTGGCCCGCCGGCGGCGGAGGGCCCCCTGCCGGCAGCAGCGGGCGACGGCGGTCTGTCACGGAACCGCAGTCTCAATGGGCCTGCTGGACCGTTCATGGTCATGAGAGTAAAGGTCACCCGGGAACACGGAACCGGGTTCTTGTTACGATATCTGGGTACGTGAGAACGTAAGGATGATTTGGTTTCTGTGGATGCGGACGAGTGAATCTGAAGTGTATCTGGTTGACTTCCGTACCTGCGTGCATGCCAACTGGCTCGAACTCTGCAGCCTAGTAACAACGCCAGCCAAGGCATCAGAGTCACGGTATGCGTGGATTGCTCCTATTTATTGATACAATAGGTAGTTCGATACAGCAAATTGGTGCGAGAAAGGCCCTATTTCATTTCCACAACGAGGCACGATGAAAAATAGCAAAATTGACCTGAAGCCGAGATAGAAATACGAGACCTGAGTTTGACATAACCTGCTACCCATAACAATCACTGACATTTTAACCCGCGCCCGGGTGGGCCTCTCAGCCAGCTTCGCCATGGTGGGGGGGGGGGGGTGGTTTGGCCATACCAGGTTATCTCGGAAAGTAAGCAAGCTAGAAACACGCGTTAACCCGCGCCCCACTGGGGTCTGTGTATAACACGCCCTACTGGGGGGGGGGGGGGGGGGGGGCTATTCATAGCCCCCCCCTCCTAACTCCGAAACTACTGGGCCGATCGTCAAAATTCAAACGGCGTCTGATAGCCCCGGAAAAACTGTCGAGCGAAACCTAATTTCATTGACCTCGAGGTCACCGATGACGTCACAGGTCAGGTCAAAGTAAAAATTATTAGCACTTTGGCTTGTTCACATTTTGGGCTCTGGCCGCCGTCTTACAAGTCAGATCAGGCTCATTTTTGGTTTCCACACTCGTGAACAGATGCTCTAGATACCTTGAGGGTACCAAACTTGTACTTTGATTTTCAGGTCAGGGTCAGGTCATCACAGGTCACGAAAATATTATATCATGCGTCGGTCACGTGACACATGTTTTATGGTCCATTTAGGCCATAGATTTCGAATTTGATGTCGTCTGTGTCATTCAAGGTCATTTTGAGTCGAAATTAGCTTAGGTCAGGTCACTTTCAGGTCAAAAAAGGTCAAATTTTGAAGTTGAAATTTTTCAACAAAAAAGGTGTCTATTGGATGCAGTTTGAGCTCAGGAACACGATGGTGCCATTTATATTGGTGTACGATGCCAAATACGTACTGAAAAATTGATTTGAAAAATAAATAATTGTGAATTTTTTGCAATAATGCGTATACCTTGGCCATTTTTTAAGATATTTAGCTAAAACTTGCTAGAGTTGGTCATGATCATGCGTTCTGTCACATATATTCCGGTTTTTTCGAAAAGTCAAAAACTTTTTGAAAAAAATATAAAAATATAAATTTTGAATACTATTATATAAAATTTTCGAAATTTTCAAAATTTTGAAAATCCGAGATAGCAGTTTGATAGCGCGGTCAATTCTGAGTCCTTTCATGCAAAGAAATTGGATCTAGCTTAAAAACTGAGCTCTTGGGAGCGATTGCCGTGGTTCAATGTTTTGCGTCGAAATCGGACGAACATGACGTCACTCTGACGTCATTTCCGGCCGACCTATGGTAGCTACGATGTTCAAATTTTGACACAAGGTGTCAAATTGATGCAGCCGAAGGTACTGAAAGTTTGGCGTCGATTCGTCAAGCGGTTTGGAAGTTATTGCAGAAAAACGGGAGGGGGGGGGGCTATAAATAGCCCCCCCCAGTGGGGCGCGGGTTAAAAAGCAATATAGATAGTTCGCTACAAGATCTCTCAGAATCGTAAAGGTATTTTTTTTTTCATCAGGCCATCGCTGAAGTCACTGGAGGTCATCAAAGGTAAAATTTTCACGACTTTTTGATCCCGATTTTGATAACTTTTCACAAATCGGCGCATAAGTCGGGAACCATATAAAGCTAAAGCGCTGCGGAAAAGCGCATTCGATAGCTCATTCAGTCTTTCTGGACATTGACCTCATATTTGACCTAAGGTCAACGGTTTGGCCTCCAGAAGGCAAAAACTCAAAATTAGGCGTTTTGCGGGCAAGGTTTTTGCATAATAACTTTTGACTCCAAGCTTGTATTACGCTAATTTTACCGGCGTCGCGTTTGCCTCGTCGAGACGCGTCGAATGTTGACTTGAAAAGGTCAACTTTAAAATTTGACCTTAGGTCAAGGTCACAGAAAAGGCCACGTTGCATGTCATTCGATTTGTATTGTTGAGCAGAGCACATTCGTGGTGTTTGCAGCGCTCTAGCATGTTTCTATCTAAAGTTATTGTCAAAAAACTGTTGGAGACGTTTAATGACCTGAGATGACCTCTGGGGCATAAAAGTGGTCACAGGTGCAATTTTCCGGTTCAGTGTGTCATGTTCACCTGTCTCCCGATGTTTGAGGGTGTTTTCGGCCAAAAGACGAGCCTTCCATTTTCTCCCGTTGACTTATAGGTAATGGAGAGGTCACAAAATTGACCTGACCTTAGGTCAACGACAGCTAACTTTCGAGATATACAAATGATTGGCACCGAGTCCTTCATGCAATAGCCTGGGCGTCAGTTCCCTAGTACATATGTTGCTATTGGAGGTCACTAATAATATCAGGTCAGGTCACAGTTCAGGTCACCAAGGGTCAGCACATAAACCCAAATTCACTAGGGCTTTGCGAAGCATATTTTTTTGGCCAGTTTTTCATTTTCAACTCAATGGTGCTGGTTATAAGACCATCACGATGTCAGGTCAAAAAAGGTCAAATTTCAAAGTTGACATTTTTGCATAAAATGGGCATTGATTCGATGCAATTCGTCACAGCGAGCCTAATGGTGGTCTTTGTTTTGCGCTACGCTGTCTAGAATGGCTAAAAATTGAGTTTGAAAATTTGACGTTATTAATTTTAAGTTTTTTTTCGTTGTAACTTGGCCAAAAAAGAGGCATCGATCTAAAATTTAGTATGTTAATAGAAGTCGGTTATATATTATATCGCATATATTCCAGTTTTTTCGAAACTCGGAAAACTTTTTGAATTATATTCAATTTTATTTTATTTTTGGGTCAAAATTCAAAAATTTAAGAATTTCGAGATAGCAGTTAAAAGCCCTAGTAATTTTACACATTTTATGTCTTAACGTTTTTCTGTATCTTCAAAGGTATAGGCCTGACAACTCTTCCCGCGAAACCTTTTTTTGTCGGAAAACGGCAGAACATGACGTCACTCTGACGTCATTTGCGGCCAACCTATCATAGCCTTTCGTAAAATGCTCTGTTATAATGTGAAAGATGGATGCCCGAAAGGGTACTGAAAGTTTGGTGATGATCGGCACAGCGGTTCTGAAGAAATATCGAAAAGTCTGGAGGGGGGGGGGGCAAATAATAGCCACCCCACCCCCCACCAGGGCGCGGGTTAACTTGACCTGGTGACCTGACCTTATGTGATCTGGGCTCAAAACATTTACACACGATGCGAGACTGATGTATCATGACTCATAAGCTATATCAAGTTTCACAGCGCTGCACGCCACGGTTTTCTTTACATTCGCAAAAAAACTGGCAGGTTTGGCCAAAAAGCGCCCCCACCCCACCACCCGGGCGAAGGAAGCAATAGTCGGTGAGATTACCGGAAAAATTTCTTCTTGATGTGAGTCAATGAGCGTGGCCTGGAATGGATACCTCGCCTACGGTGACCTAGGCTCGAAATTTTTCCATACCATAAAAACTAGCATTTGGTAAGCCAAAAACGCAAAAGAAGGCGTTAAGGGTGTAAAGTTCTCATGTGCATTTCTTTTTTATTGCTCATTGAAGTGTTCAGTTCGTTGACTTCTATGGTAATTTTGCACTTATGGACTAATTTTGGACAAGTGACATGATCATCAGTGATCTAGAACAACAAAATTGTCCGACACGTTTAATTTAAGTCCGATAAAGAAACTAGTGGTGCACACTGCATAGTGTCGCTTTTCAAATGTTTGCAATGTTCTGGCCGGGGCTATGGCTCGATACGGAATATTTTGACCCGCGCCGTGCTGGTGACCAGATGTTTTCCGTGTCGTGCAGATGGGGGAGGGCGTTTTCAGTTTTCACGCCCCCCCCCCGTCTAACTCTGTTCCTGGGCCACGGAGCGACACGCGGTAGGCGGCAATTGAAAGAGCGTCGAAAATTATGACGGAAACACTTCAGTCATTTTTTAGGTTAGGTCAAAGGTCAGGTCACCAGAGGTCATCAAAGGCCAAATTTAGCCCATTTCAACAATTTTGGAAACCGCCAAGGGCGCCTAACTCAGGAACCAATAGAGCTACAGCGCCGCGGAAAAACGCATTTGATGGCCCTTTTACAGACCTTTCTGAGTGTAGTAATCAGACCTGACCTCAGGTCAACGGTAGGTATAGCCTCCAGAGGGCAAAAACTAAAAACAGCCGTTTTCACGAATAATGTTTTTCAGTAATAACTTTTGGCTCAAGAGAGCCACATTACTTTTGCCAGCATTGTGTTTCTCTCGTTGAGCTGCATCGAATGAACTATATTTTGACATTGAACGGCCATTTTGAAAATTTGACCTCAGGTCAAGGTCATGACCTGACCGGAAAGGGTCATAACGTATATCAGTCTATCCGTATCGTGGAGCTAAACACATCTGACGTGCTTTCACTGCTCTAGCACGTCTCTATCAGAAGTTATAGCCAAAAAACTGCTGGTGACCGTTCATGACCTGAGATGACCTCAGAGGCACACAGGGGTCACAGGTGCATTTTCCCGATACAGTGTGTCATATTTACCTGTGAACCGATGTTTGAGAGGGTTTTGAACATTCGTCCAAAAGAGGCGCATTTTAATTTTCTCCCATTGACTTATAATGGAGAAGTCGCAAAATTGACCTGACCTTAGGTCACAGATATCAATAATCCGAGAACCATTTTATGTATGTTGTTATTCTTATTAATCGCTGAAACTTTCAAAGGGATCGTTCAGTCGGTGTAGCTATAACGAGCGCTTGAACTTTTTCTAAGGTAAGGTCACTTGACGTGACCTGGTGACCTGACCTTCAACGACCCGGGTCTTAATTAAATTTACACAACATGTGGGGAAAATATGTATGAATAGGTGTGCCAAAAATGGCGCTCCGCCGTTTTTGAGATATTCGCGAAAAAACGCCCCTCCCCCTCCCCCCCAGCACGGCGCGGGTTAACAGTTCAATTACACTCTCTTCATTGTCAGCTTTGATATTTCACACTGTCCCACCCAAACGAACCTACCACCACACCACAAACACAGTCCTCACAGGAAGCGTGCTGTATTAGAATAATGAGGCTACGACAACCGATCAGAAACAACATATTTAACATTTTTCACTTCCATTACCATTAAAGGAAATACGCACGCTGCATAAACAAGCATTTTCATATATACAGCGCCATCATCCTAAGCATATCAATACAATCTCCTACGCGAAAGGCAACAGAACACCAAGAAGCATCTAACACGATTTCAATACTCGTTGCATTGATATTTGAAAGGTCACCATTGAAGGTAATACGTGAACATAATCGGCCCGCCATAAAACGATTACACAGCACTCTGGTGAAACACCACGTTTCATACATGCGGCCGTACCCATGCGGCAGGAGCTCCGCACTATAACAGGTTTACAACGCTAAGACACACAAACCGCGTCACAACTCACAAGTGCGCTAGCGGGCAGTGGGACATTACCAGGCATTCACGATCCGGGCACCAGGATATCGTGCAGGTCATGGAACGTCGACTCGAGACAATCAACAAAACTATCCACGTCCGTGTGCGCGGGGTAGTTGCTGATCATGGCGCCTAGCTCACGCTCGCGAATGCTATATCCTATGCCGAAGCCGTCCGCCTCCACTGCACCGAACCCGCCCGTCTCCACGTAAGGCGTGGACAGCGTCGACGTCGAGATCTTGAACCTGTTGAATGGCTGGAACGCCGGGTCTTTGTAGAAGTCCGGCATCGTGTCCTCTAGCTCCTCGGCGAGCAGGCGCAGGGCGAACAGGTGGCGGTCACATCCCTGGCCCTTGGCAGCGTTCACCGTCAGCTCTCCGTGACGCTTTGAACAGTCTTCCATGAGCTGGCGCAGCTGAGCGCGCTCAGGTCGGGTAGAACTGTTTAGGGCCCGAGACAGAGCAAGCGTCGCCTCAGTAGCTGGTCGGATAGTTTCTGTGCGTCCGTGCAGGAAGGCAGACGTGCTGCACGACTCGTAAGAGGCTACCGTCTGCCCCGTCAGGCGGTGGTAGGCCACCTGGAAGCCCATCTGCATGACGGCGTCAGGTGAGATGCGCGACTGCTTGCAGATGTCCTTTCCGTAGCGCGGATCCATGAACATACCAATGGCTACGCTGTCAGCGAACTCCCAGAAGCGTTTCTTCGCGTCAGCTATGGCCTGCTTGGACGTGCCATCCAGCTTCCATTCCAAGCGACGAACATGTGCCGTCCCGGGGTGCGAGTCGGGCCCGACACGAGGCTTCTCAGTCACGTCGCGGAAAATCTCGTTGAAGAGACGCAACACTGCGACACCATCGCCCCAGGCGTGTTCAAAATTGATAGCCGCCTTGCCTTCTCCACTGAACACGATCGAGAAGGACTTGTCAAACCAGCGGTTGGCCGCGTCACCATGCAAGAACTGTTTGAACGCTGCCACCGGGTCGTCATTGATGCGAGCGTCATCGAGCACGATACAGAAGAGAGCCGAGTCCACAGCCTCCAGCGCTTCGCCATTGCCGGTCTCCAAGAGGTGCTCACGCACGGCCGCCCAAGTATCACGATTTTCGGCGGACAGGTATCCCAGCGGTGACTCCGGGGGAGGGCTGGGATCGTTTGCCACAGAAGCAATGCTGCCATGGATATCCGCCGGCGACAGGATGTCTCCCGACGCGTCCATGACATCCACCGCGTAGAGATGGCCATTCCGGATCACTAAGATGTGTTTTGATGCGTGGGTTTTCTTTAGCTCATCTTTGCCTATCCTTGGCACTCGCGTCGACGCGAAAAGGCTGCTGAACTGTGACATGTCGAGGGGGAACGCTTTGTAGTAGTAGGCGCCGAAGGACGCGACGCGACGAGGCAAAAGCTTGACCAGCTTTCGCATGCCAGGAACGTCACTTTTCGCAGCGTTCAGGTGGAACACCTCGGGGGTCAGGATGCCGGCCTCCAAAGTGCGCATGAAGCGGAGGGCGGCGATCGTCATGTTGGTGGCGCGGATCACCTGATCGTTGTACGGAGTGTCGGGGTCGTCGATGTACGACATAAACGGGTTAGAGTTGATCACAATGGGCCGTCGATCAGTCAAGTACATGTCGAACCAGGGCTTGGAAATGTAGCTCGTGTGCTTGTTGGCTTTGTCTCGCTTACGCAGCACCAGCTGCAGGTTCTTGCCAATACCCTGCTGGAATCGCAGGGTTACATCCTGGGTATGAGCGAATTGCTCGTCAGTTAGAAGAGGTTTCTGGGCGTTCAAGTAGCGCTGACAAGTGTTCTCGATCGTGGGAATCGGCAAGCGCGGAAGCGAGGCCTGGAAGACATCGGTGGGCAGCTCGCTGTGGTGCAGGAACTGATACTCATCCGAATACGGCGGGCTACTGGACAGATGGCGGACGGCCATCCGGCCCAGCCGAGGACGCAGCACCGACAGACGCAGCATTATGGCACACCGGGAGGCACGCGCAGCCCGCCTGAGATACAGAGCGCTCGAACCGTCTGCCGGAACAGAGAGACCAGATTCACTGCCGCGACCCAAGACCGAAGTACCGCGGTCACGTACGTTGCAAATAATTCAGAAGACCAGACAGAAGCAGATGAAATGAGCAGGTCACATGTCGAGATAAATAACTGACGATCGACTATATGGAATAATATAAATGGTTCTAATGATGTTCTAAATGGTTCACCATGCTTGTTTCACGGAGTAATAGAAGTTACACATCGTTTCAGATAGCCGTTTTCTCAATGGTGAGGATTTTTGGCATCGTGGGCAATAAGGTACTTGTTATTCATTCGACAAAGACGTCGTGGACATTTCCCTCGAGTGTAGTCCACTTCCTTAGCGAGAGAACCTAGGGAACCTTAAGAGAACGTAGAACACACAAGCTCCTACTTTAGATACAATGGTCAGCTAGAATGCTGGGATCAGTAATTGATAGAAATAGGGGAGACCCGGGAGGTATGGGCCCCCTGGAGGTATGGGCCATCGCAGTTTTGAAGAAGTGTTGCGTATTTTTACACATTTGACGGCGTTAACTGGTAGCAGCCCTTCAGTGATTACATCCCACGTGATTTTCAAAACCTTCCTCAGTCTTCTATGGCAATGAGCGGCGATAAAGCGTTTTTGCCCTCTTCGAGTAAAATACGGTACATACAGAAAATTCGTGCTAAATTTGAACCAGGCTCGTTTTATGATGTCAGACCATCGCTAACATAAAGTTTAAAGCATGCAAATTAAGACTGGATAGACAATATGAAGCTTTCTTGCAAGATTATGATCTGAGATGCTACGCACATTATGGCGTCCTAACCGGGAGGTTTGGGCCACCCACCCCCGGTGATCCTAAATAAATAAAAAGATGCTTTCATTAAATGTCCCCGTCAATAAGTTTTATTTTTGTCGCGCAAGGTCGAAAATTTAACTTCAAATTTCATTCGAACAGAAATATATTATTCATCTTATTTCATGGTGCATGATTGAGTTTACCAAAATACATATGGGCCCAAGTGACCTCCATGAAGCAAGCTGTTGGCCGCTTATGCGGTTCCTGGGCTCTAAGAGAGATCGAGGTAGATACCAGCTACGAGTATTATTCTCATTGTCGAGAAAATAATATGAAACATGGCATCGGCCCATACCTCCCGGGCCATGGCCCATACCTCCCGGTGCATTTTGATGGATCGAAAAAGCACATGATTTATTGAAAGTTATCTCGGGACAAAATAGTTGATCCCAGATGCCTTTCGCCTGCACACGTTGCAGGCGAAAGGCAATTTCACATACACAGAGTGAAAAACCGAGTCTAGCCACTGCCCACTGGAAGAAAATTGCCTTTTCACAAAACCGGCCCATACCTCCCGGGTCTCCCCTACAACGTAAAAATTCTTGGATCGGTTCTGGCATGTCGAGTGTCTGCTTCAAAAAGTCATTTTGTCAGTGTTGGCAATGTGTTTGGTGTCGTGGCTTATTGTTTGATATGAATAGTACCTACCTACTCAAAAGCTAAGCTACGGACATCATAATTTAAGAGGTCAAATCATAATGTTTGATTCCACGTTAATTGCATCCCTCATTTATGTAGACCATGCGTTGCTGAGCAACATGCCTGAAATCACATTGCTGGTTGCTGCAAACTTTTTGCCAGCTCTTGCGTCCATTTGGAAATGTCAGTAACAGACTCCTTATCATACAAACCCTGTTTTCGATGGAGGGGAGGGGCTTTAAATATCCACACATTTTGAGTTCAATGTCCCCACATTTGGGCATCATAAATCAGTGTCATATGCCATGAAGCTTTCCTTTTTGTACAATAATAGATGGGCAATCTACTAGGCTTGTTGCAAGCTCACAAGATTTATCTGACTCTTGGATAACGACGTCGACAACTCAAGAAACTCAAGATTACGAAACGATATTTGAGTATCTTGAGTTTCTTGAGTAATCATTATCCAACTGTCATGGATACTTTACATTTATCTGACTATGAAAATGTCACGTAGGTACATGGACTTTTCTTTGCCTATACCAGTCCAGGGCAAGAGCATACCAAAATGAATAGAAAATTGATTTATGCAGATATATGGCCATGACACCACACCACCCAACAGAATGAAATTATGGATGCCTCAATATTTTGATTTCAGAACCTACTTTGCCCAACTGAAATATGTATACCTGCTTGAATGACCTTGACCTTGAACTATGCTAACCCTGTGCAGGGCCTGGGGTGTTTGAACAGCCATCGTTGTGAAATTTCAAACCCATGTCATTCAAAGTCAGGTCACCAGGTCAATCAAGTGCCTATACCTTATAAAAAAGTATGCTTGCAACAGCTACACCAACTGAATAATAGCTTTGAAACTTTCAGCGATTGACAAGAGTAGGAAAGTGACCTAATAACGCACAACTCCTATTTACGCACGAGCGCAAGGAAATCATCGCTAGATGTCACTACAGCTTGCTTATAATCAGCTGACTGCGCTGCGCCAAAGCGTCATACGGCCTTGAAAGCGTCTGCCTTTTCTGCACCACAAGCAAGTCGATACGGTAAGTTTGGCTTATATAATATATATGTTGTAATGAAACATCTTTCTGTGAAAAGTCGATGCGACTAAATGGTCAAAAAAAAAAAAAAATGCCCCAACTAATAAGCAGTGTTCGATATATCCCGAGTTTAGGAAGATTCAATACGAGCCACGAGGGCAGGCTTCTTATCTGTGAGTCATTAGGATCAAAAATGTTTGCTGTTCACGTTTCTCAAGGTCATTTTTACCCAGGATGCGTCAGCTTTGTGATATGGAGAATAAAGGAAGAGTGTGCGTGATTAGGAACCGTGTTCTCAAAAACGCACAGTGGCGCGTTCTTAAAGGGACACTCCCACCTTAACATTAGTTTTGAGTTGAGATAGCCAAATTGGTGGCCATGGCCTGCAAATACCGGTTTGGGCACTCACAACATCGACAAATGCTTTAATTCGGAGATATGGAATTTCAAACTTGCAGTTTTCGGATTCTAAGGGGCTAGTGCATTGGTATGCCCCCTTAGAATTTGTGACGTCAGCGGAGATCTAACGATTTTTAAATCTTTTACTAAAACGTTTGGTAGCACGCGGTGGTATATGCTGCTTTGCGCGCAACAAATGCCGCACTTTCAAATAAAGTCGCTAGGAACAGCGGAGATCCCAAAAAGTAAACAAAAGTAAAAGTCTAATATCTTGAAAACCGGTGAATATTTTTCGATGAAATTTGGTAGATATTCGTTTTCGCTCTTTCTGAACCGAGCGACATCACTTTCGTGCCAATTCATTAACTTTTTTGAAGGTGGGAGGGTCCCTTTAAATGCGCACAGTCCAGTCTCCATAAGTCTCCAATCTGAAGTGCATACAATGGATATCAGATTCGAATCCAGTCCCTACTCCCTACCTACATAAAAACACAAGCAAACCAACCAACCAACCAACCAACCAACCAACCAACCAACAAACAAATAGATAAATGACAGAAAGGTGCCCAGGTTATCGGAGGTCACTAAGCTGATCTCGAAATTGATTTAATTTCTTTTTTATCAGAAAAATGTAGGGACCAAACCTTCTTTGCCCGACTCGATGGTACCTTGGGTACTTTTTTTCTTTTTTTGAAAAGTTGATATTTTAGTGCACGCTGTATCGCTGCATATACATTGAAAAAATGTGCGTAATAAAGGGCTATTGCTGTGCGTTTTTAGGAAGCCTGTTCCCAATAACGCACAAATGCAGACCTTTTTTAAAACAGTCGTCATAGCCATACTAAAATCCCATCATAGTTCCGTCTCTGGGATTATAGAGACAATCGATTGCCCAACATACTGGCGTGATTACACCCCTATCGGCGCCGCCATTTGGCCGCAATTGCGATTGGAACCTTACGTGGGCGTAATTGGGTCACTCTCCCCTAACATGTATAACATGTATAATTAGGAATTTTAATATTGGTGACCTACGGTCAGGTCAATTTTGTGACTTCTCCATAGTATGACAAAGACGATAGAACATTGGGGCATGCACCTCTTTTTTAGATTAAAGTCATCTTAAGCCCTCTACAACATCAGATAATGACACACTGATTCAGAAAAATTGCATTCATCCATCCATGCATCTATGCCTTTCAGGTCACCTCGAAATGAAAGGTTTCCAGCATTTTGTGTTACTATTATGGGTACAGGGACCCGCAGTTGCTACTGTACAGCGACCCTGAGTAAATTGTCCCAGCACCCTCACAGGGAACAACGATAAGCTGTCAGAGGGTACTCACAGGAAACCTCAGCTGCTCTTGTACAGGGACCAGCAGTCGATATCAATGTTATCGGTTGTTACTGGACAGGACAGACGGTTAGACTTGGGGTTCGTGTACAGTAGCAACTGCGGGTCCCCGTACCTTTTATTCGAGATATGTATGCTAAAAAGATGACAACACTTGAATTCAGCACCACTATACAGATTTTTCTGGGCTGGCAAGGTCATGACCTTGATCTAACATTCCAGCACCTACAGTTTAAGTTAATAGAACAGCCAGCATGAAAAAATAGCTGGAGGCACTTAAACAGGCTCTTACATATCTGATAGCTACCCTTTGACTGTCATAGTAAAGCAGGCGTCACCTTTGTTTTTTTTGCAACTGAGGAGAGGCACTGTAGGTTGATAGGTTGTAGATTTTAGGTTTTAGGTGGTATATTTTAGGGAGTAGGTTGCCGATTTTAGCTTGTAGGTTGTAGGTAAGGTTAGGTCAGGTTTATTTAGGTATGGTTTGGCTTGATTAGAAAGCATCTCTGGGTATAGCACCTCTCCTTGGTTGCAAAGAAACAAGTGTGATGCCTGCTTTACGACTACCCCCTTTGACTAAGGTGTATTGGCATGTTCCTCTCCACTGCTAATACCAGAGGCAAGTGCTAAATTTCACCCTATTAGTGGCAGGCTCCTGGCTACCCTTATTAGTGGCAATGGGGGCTGTTTAGGACCTACCATGATATCTCAAGATCTAACCAGCCAATTTTCAAAATTTGAACAGCATTCAATTCCACTCAACGTGATCTAGGTACATTTCAATAAAAGAAAAGTCCCAAAAACGCAAAAAGAGGGCAGTAGGGGGTAAAAACTCCATATTTTAGATGCTTTTTCAATTACTGCTCACCAAGGCCATGTTTTTCAACCAATTTTAACGCAACAACTGCCGATCGTTTCAAGATGAACCAGAAATTGACCTGCATAACAAACATATGCTTTTCGAAAAACCATAGGCGGATACAGGTGATTGAATTTGGGAGGTAAATGGAATACATAATGAATTGGGTGTTTTGCTGGTGCTGTCACCGAAACAGGTTGGCAATGGTCTTAATATATTACAAAAATGTGTGATAAAATTACTAAAATTGGGTTGGATTTTCATAGGCAGCGTCAGGGCACCGAAGCTAGGAGGTGAAACAGAGCTTTCTTTTTGCTGGAGCTGCCTATTGTCCCACCTCAAAAACATCAACTGTAACATTGAACAATGAATGGTCATGAAGCACTAAAAAACTCAGTAGAATACATGATGATAAAGGTATACATATTCTCTAAAGTAGTCATTCAAGCTCAATTTTTGGCAAACATGGAAGAAAGAAGATTTTTATTTCAAAATAATATAAAATAAAAACAAGAAAATGTTAGCAAATCAAGCTGAACGACAGGAACGTCCAACCTACGACCTACGATTATTCATTGAAACAGCCAACATGAACCAAAAACCCAAAGACGAATTGCTGACATCCTAACAAGTGAAATGTTTGCACATTTAAATCAGGTGTTTTTAGGTGTTAAATTCAACAAATGTTTCAAGGTTTCTAGGTTAACAGTATGCCTTTTGATTTATGTGTTGGTCTTTTATATGTATTTTTAGAGCTTAAGACAGGCTGATGAATGAAAACGGATGTCTTCCAAAAGCTACCAATAAAAATAAACAAAGCTGGTGTCCTGAACAATCTTTACCAGGAACAACTACCTATGCTATGATCCATCCATTGTTCACTTGTGAGCTTGTAATGCCTACAAATAATGTTGATATACCAACAGAATGAACAGCTAGATTTATAATGCATCAGCAACGTGATCTTCACCCAAATCTCGCTTCAAGAATAGGACCCCCTATTCACCATGCCCTGGGCTGACCCTGAAAAAGGTACCAAGTTTGTACCTACACACAAAAAAGGTTTTAGAACAAGTGTTGTGTAGGTTCTAGGTTGAGCAAGGTAACAATTGACTGTTTTTTATCACAAAAAGAGCTTAAATTAAGTTGACATTTCAATTATGACGCAGCTGTGACATTTGCTGCCGCTCGAGCAATGCCAGAGAGCATGTTTTTTAATCCCACCCAGAAATGACAAACAAGCTCCCTGATTGGCCAGTTGCCGGCCAGTTGGACTTGAGCGGTCGCCATGGTGGTATCGGGGACTCGGCCGGCATCGTTAGGTGTTGAATTATGTGTTTCGTTGTGCTAGATATTGCCAATTTGCTTTGATATTTGATAAATAACGTTGGCTCATTCTTTGGTGACCTTGCATACTAATACGACGATATTTTGATACCGATTATTATGCATCAAACATCATGAGACAAATGTGGCGATTTCCACACCCTTTTGCAGTGCCCCCTCCCCTTGTGTAGTGAGTTAACAGGCTTGTAAGAACCAAGTAAACCATTTTTTAGTCAAGTGGTCATGATCGTCCCTACATCTAATGGATAATAGTCTTGCGCAAACTTATAAAGTGCTGGAGGAAGCAGAAGTTACGATTTTGGAGTACGCAAACTTGTTATTAAAAAATCTCAGGTATTTTGGCTATATAAAGTGAGAAGAAAAGTTCAATTGATCATTATTTATTACAATTGCAATATTGATAATATCATGATAATTGTACTGTCAGGTAATGATAATAGTCATGTCACGTCATGCCACTAACCAGGCACACAGACACAACACATTTTCATCTTTATGTATCTAGGCATAAGGTATTACAGGCATGTTTTTGCACACCTCTCATGTGCGAGTGGGCATGGCCTCCTTCACAGTTAAGTTTTGGCTGATTGTGCTCAAATTTTGTAAGTACCTACATGTAAAGGGATGTAGATACAGTTAGTCGGGCACTCTTCTTAATTCAGTTTTGTGCACCACTTCCTGCTTTCACCATGCTGTGCCCACTCTGCTTTACAGTGGACAGCTGCTTCTGTGACACACATTAATCTTGCGTTCATTGAAACACTTAGTTTTGAGTGTTTTGACTCAGTTTTGTTGTAACGTTACCTGTGTTTATATTTTCAATAACTTGTTTTGGGCTGCTAGTTTGATTTGTTTTTGACATCAAGTAAGATTTGTTTTTTGTTTCTGAGATTCCAATGTTATTTGTGGCAAATATTTTCCAAAAATCCTCCATCTAAAGCTTCAACTGAATTCTAAAATGCCTGCATTTTCTACCAGAAACATTGTCATTGATACCTCCTACAATATTTCATTTTGTCACCAGGTACCTGGACTGGTGAAAAGTGAAAACTGAAATTCATTCATGTCACCATTATCCTACGACCTACCCCTAAATGGAATTGATCTTGTTTCACAAATGAGTTGTACATTGTACAATGTCTATCAGCGGATGTCTATTGTCTATCTCTCTTTCAGCACAGAAGATCCTCAGTCATAGTTAACAAAATGGAAAAAAATTAGCTGTGTTTTTAAGATTCCAGTGGTGGCCATCAACTGCTCAGGAAAGCAGCCCAGAATCACTTCACAACAGGTATGTTGATGCATGTACATTGTACATTAACATCAATGTCTGAATGCTGAAGAATTGTTGAACAGGGAACACATTTACCTAGCCTCTAAAGACCACAAATCCTACATTACTTACATAAACATTTTTCTATAGAACTTATATTATCTACTTTCATCTGGCTAAGACTTTTTTACATTATATTCCCTCTGTTAAACATGAAAATATGATGAGTTATAGACTAGTATAACAAGCTGGTAATTATATTTGCCTTGTCAGCTTGGCCAACATCTGCATCATGGCTATCACAAAATATGACTGCTTTCCTGACATTTGCATTTGTTCCACTCACCAATTGACCACTTCTACCATCTGCTTGCTCTATGCACAGACATTGTCATAGGGTCTGTTCCAGTCGCACTTCCTAACACCTCTTAACTCCTCCAAGATTGCTTCCCTGTTCCAGTGGCAGCTTTCGCCCCTACAAAGCCAAGAAGGGCCCTGCTCCAACCTCCTCTATCTTGCTCTTTGAGGAGTTTAGATGTGTTAGGAAGTGCGACTGGAACAGACCCATAGCAAAACAGTTTCATCTCCCTGAGTCTGTACTGTCTTTTTCCAGGTTTCCAAAGGATCATCATTCATCAGCACAGAAGGGTGGGAAAGAGAAGGCTGTTCAAATTCTGAAAAGCCAGAGCTGCAAAGGAGGTCAAAGATGCAGTGCAGTTGGCCCACTCAGTAGAGTTTCACTAGTGGTTCTGATGTGGACTGAAGATTACACGCTGGATTGAAGTGGCCGGTCTGGAGCAGCTGTAGTTCTTCATTCTTGCTGATTGTGGACGAGTAAGAGCCCGTGTTGGCCCCGATCGGCGATCGCTGGCCAAAGCCCACCACCAGTTTGGTGATAGGCGTTGGCTGTGATATCTAGTGTCGCCTATGTGTGAAAAGGACAAGTTGATAACAAAACCTGTTGCGCCATGTTATTAACCCGCGCCCGGGTGGCCCTCAGCCAACTTGGGGGGGGGGGAGAGGTGTATTCGGCCACACCAGGTTATCTTGGAATGTAGCAAAGCTGGAAAGACGCAGTAAAATCAATCTATAGACCGCTATTTTTCTTCAGAATCATACAGGTCATTTTTGATCAGGTCATCGCTGAGGTCACTGGAGGTCACCAAAATTAAAATGATGACGAATTTTGCCCCCCGATTTTGACAACTTCACAAATTGGTTCATAATTCGGGAACCAAAGAAGCTACAGCGCCGCGGAAAAGCGAATTCGATAGCTCTTTCGAAAATCTTTCAGGTTCTCAGATTTGAGCTAAGGTCAACTAGGGTTAAGCCTCCAAAGGGCAAAAACTGAACAATCGGCTTGCTTCGGAAGTCGTCTTTTCTTTAATTTTTTTTTAAACTGATACCAACCTTTTATTACGTTGATTTTACCGGCACTGCGTTTCTCTCGTCTTCTTGGCCTAACAAGTTCAGCTTAATAAATTTGACCTGCAGAAAATGCCATTTTGCATGTCATTGATTCGTTACATTGAAATTGAGATTAACATCAGTAGCGGCGGAACACCTTCAATTAAGGGGGCATTGCCGACTTTTGGTCTCATTCTTTCCATGCAACGGCCATAGGGCTAATGTTAAAATGCCAAAATCAAAGGGGGCACGGTGCCTCGGTGCCCTCGACCTGTTCCGCCGCCTATGATTATGATGCTTTTAGCGCTCTGGCCACGTTCCATCTAAAATCGATGTACAAAAATAAACTGTTGGGAGGCGTTACATGACCTGAGATGACCTCAGGAGCATACGATAGATCCCGATGTTTGAGTGCTTTTGTTTCAAAAGCAGAACATTTCGATTTCGAGTTCCTCATACTGACTGAAACTGGAGACGTCGCAAAGTTGACCTGACCCTAGGTCACCACCGATATCAAAATTAAAGATATTCAAGATGTTGGTACTGATTCTCTCATGCAATAGCTCGAGTTTCAAACTTCTACTTCATGGTGACCTGACCTGACCTTAGGTGACATGGGGTTACTTTTTTCACAATTGATGCGAATCGATGCATTATACATAAGCTATACTAAGTTTAGTGTCGTTTTATCTATGCAAGCACAAAATTGTCAGGTGTGGCCAAAAACGCCCCCACGGCCCACCCACCTGGGGAACGTTAAAGCAGTGATGTATTTTTTTCGGTGTATTCCACGATGCATCGATCGGTGCTGTACTTGATAATGCATTATTTATTGCTGCGTGTGTACGCTTTTCCTCTGTTCAGTGTGATCTGTGATAGGAAAACTACCGATATATCTCCACGCGCATGGCTGAAAGAGCTGGCGTGATCTATAATATTGGGTGTCTGTTTTTGTTTGGCATTTTATAAATTATGAGTCAGCTGTGATCGTTTGATGAGACACTGGGACAGCCGGCCTGTATGATCAGCGAACGGCAGGCGGCGGGGCAGTGGTCCGGTGGCTGCTGCATGGGACTGACACCAGCAGATTCAGAGCTGCGATACGCGGACGTTATGTTCACAATACCTTTGCAAAGTAATATCTGATAGATATCATGTCCTCGAAAATGTTCTTCAATCAATATGATTTTACCTCCTGGCTTATTCCATGGGGGCCGAAACCGATCGTTTTATGCACGCCTTTTCTGGGCCTCGTTCTCCTCTAAATGCGTGTAGGTAGCAATTTTATTCAAGGGACGATTGAAAGTGCCTCCGATTAGTTTTCAGCGTAGGTGGGATATGGCCGTTGAATGTGAGGCAGTCGATAAGGAACGTCGAGCTGGAACGGTCATTGGGTAGGTACTAGGTAAGGTATGTGAAAGGCAGCAGTGGAAAACAAGGAAGGGAGGCGTTTGGTGTGAGGTTTCAAATGCTCTATGCATAAGAAAAGTTCATTTGATCATATGACACCGTCCTTTTTATCGCGATACGTGAGCAACGCATGAGACGCTCACTGTTCAGACTTGTAGCGTTAGAGACAGGCTGAGAAGGGCTATTTCCGCGAAAGGATATTCTGGAATTTGAATTGAAAGGCATTTAGTTTTGAAAGCATCAGTACTTCTTAACACGATACTGACTCATTTAAAATTTCAATTTTTCCCCACTGCGATAGCATAAGAAACAGAGACTGCGGTGTCCCCGTACGCAGGATTCTGGAGACTGTCAGGCGGATGTTAGTAGCTAAAAGCTTTTGTTTTTTATTTAACAGATAACAATCATTTCTTTTAATACTTTGTAACACCTAACTCACTAGAAACAATCTGTACGGGCTTCCAAAAGTGTTATATTTATTTAACATGTTAGATCAATTACAAAATTTTAGCTGCCCTAACCTGTAAATGTAACGGATGCGTCATTATTGAAAACGTGCTAAAGCATAGTATTCTATTGCTGACAAATATTCTGCGTCTGTCAGCCAAAACTGGCCAATCAGAGGCTTTGTTTGTCATTTCTGGGTGGGATTAATAAACATGCTGCCAGAGAGGATTCACCAACTAACTGAAATGAAAGGAAAAAGCAGGAACTTACCTTGCAACCAGAAATAACGCCAGAAGCCTCAAGAAATCAACAAACTTAACACATATTCGCCCCGCAGCAACTACACAACTCGACCAAAAGGCCTTTCCTCGCCTATTCAAGGATTCATCAATTCAATCACCTTCAATGGGAACGTTCATGCGGTTGGTCGGGTTGGTCAGAAAGCTAATGACGTCATTGGCTCTAAGCCCCCACCCCCCGACGCAGGAACCGGGAACGTCATGTCCACATTATAATATACTGTGATGTCCACCATGTCCAGAGGGTACAGAGGTTTCCGCATGCGATAAGATGAACGATAAACGATAATTATCGCTGTTAAGTACCTAAATCGGTTATCGTTATCGCTTATCGCTAAATTTTCAAAATTATCGCTTATCCACTTATCGCAAGCTACAAAAATTATGAATGATAAACGATAAAATGTAAAACGGGATGATGGAAAAATGGAAGACGATCGACAGTGTATGCCGCGCGACAGTACGTATGTGTGCGCAACCTGTTGCCATCTGTTAAGCGTATAGATCTGCAAAGAAACTTTACCAGGGTGGCCGAAGTCAGGGAGGTGTTTCCCTGCTAAACCCATTCCCTTCCGGCGTATCCATCCACTGCAGCTCTCAATACCTAATCAGTAGCCGGTGTCTGACCCGCCTTGTCCGCTCACACAAAGCCCCAATCATCTCGATAAGATGGCTGGCGGCGCAGTGAGGCCGAGGTCAGACCAGGATCTGGGCCGAAAGGCCACCTCTAGAGCTGATTGCAGATGGTAGATATATTCTTTATTGGAGTGCGACTTGCGGAGAGCTTGGACAAAAAGTTAATATCGCAGACGGCAGAAAGCATTGTTTTATGAGAGGAGCCGGTGTGCGTCAATATATTGGGCGTTCCAACCGAGTGAAACATAGCACATCGGTATCGTCTGCTCCGCCTGAGTGCGCTAGATACAGAGAGCTCACCTCACAAACATTTTTACTGTTGACAGGATGCCGTCTGCCAGGCAATGTTGAGGTGTGCACGAAAAGGTCCTTGGAGACAAATAAAGCGGCCTGAGCGGATTTACATGATCGGAGCAAGGTCTTCTGGTCATTCACCTGGCGTCGACTGAGGGCTGAAAAGGGCCCGACTGAAATTTTTTTTTCAAGTTTACCTATGGTCGATGTCGGGTGTCACTAAAACGAAGAGCCGGAGCGGAACAAACCAAATCCCACTCACATAACCCATGTGTTAAACTCATTTACCTACTTTCTAGCACGACCGAAGGCAATAATTTGGTTTTGTATTTAACGCCACTCTGTCCATTTAAAGCATTCATTTAACTCCCATTCCTCTTGCCTACCTGGGGACGTACCTATCCCACACCGGGCCGGGGGGTCAGGGGTGTTTGAACACACACCCCCCGCGGTTTTTCGCAGCCTATCTCAAAAACGGCGGCGCGGAGCGCCGCCGTTTTTGGTACACCTGTTCGTGCATCTTTTCCGCACATGTTGTGATCACTTTCAGACCCAAGTTGCCTTACGTCAGGTCACCAGGTCACGCCAAGTGACCTCACCTCAGAAAAAATAAGAATGCTCGTCATGGCTACACCGATTGATCGCGATTGCCTTGAGACTTTCAGGCGGCTTCAGCGATTGATTAGAGCAAAATTATCTATAAAATTTATATCTCGGAATTTTGATATCGGTGACCTAAGGTCAGGTCAATTTTGCGGCCTCTCCATTATAAGTCAATGGGAGAAAATTGAAAAGCGTCTGTTTTGCACGAACGCTATTCTATAGACACTCTCAAACATCGAGATGTAGGTAAAATTGACACACTGAACCGGATAATGGCAACTGTGACCCCTCGTTATGTCCCCGAGGTCATCTCAGGTCACGAACGGAATCTAACAGTTTTTCGCTAATAATTTCTGATAGAGGCGTGCTAGAGCGCTGAAAACGCCTTAGATGTGTTCGGCTCGACGTTGCGGATCTACTGATATGCAGCATGACCTTTTCGGTCAGGTCATGACCTTGACCTAAGCTCAAATTTTCAAGTTGACCTTTCAAGGTCAAATTATAGTTCATTCCACGCGTCCCGACGAGAGGAACACGATGCTGGCAAAAATAATGTCATGGCTCTTTTGAGTCAAAAGTTATTGCCGAAAAAAAAACGCTTTTCATAAAAACGGCTATTTTTGTTTTTTTTTTGCCCTCTGGAGGCTAAACCGTTGACATGAGGTCAAATCTGAGAACATTACCCAGAAAGGTCTGTAAAAGGGCTATCGAATGCGCTTTTCCGCGGCGCTGTAGCTCCATCGGTTCCCGAGATAGCCGTCGGCAGTTTCCAAAATGTTGAAATAGTCAACATTTTACCTTTGGTGACCTCTGGTGACCTGACCTTTGACCTGACCCAAAAAATGACCGAAACGTTTCCGTCCTTATTTTGGACGTTCTTTCGATTGGCGCTTACCGCGTGTCGCTACGTAGCCCAGGAGCCGAAGGGGGAAGGGTGTTCAGACCTCCCCCCCCCGGCCCGGCGCGGAATCTCAGAGCACCGGCCCGGCGCGGGCTATCATTCCGTAAACACACACAAACACCAGTTCCGAACCGGACGGTCACCATTACCCACCGCGGCGGAGTTGACTCCCACCGAACTCGGGCTTTAAGCGTTGGGGTGAACAGCAGGGTGGACCATCCCTCGGGACGGTCTCAGCCCCGGCAGGACACCAGGGTGGCCGCCAAGACCAATGTCCGCCACCCCACCCCTAAATCCTACAGCAACGGCTCTCAAAACACCTGACAAGACCAAATTCCAAAAACACCTACCCTCCCCCAAAAGCCTGTCATCCAGTTTCGACACCAACAAGTACCTAAAACAGGTTGGTATTCGCCAGACCACATATCTACTTCACTAGTTACAAGTACCTAAAGAGAAGGAGTCTGTGGCCAAACCATTCGAATTCCTCAGCACGGATAAATGACCCAGCATAAATATTACACCTATGATGAATTTAAATGCATGTTTGAAGAAAATGGGAATATTTTCTGTAACGATAAATGATTTGCCTTGCACTCGGCCATGGAATGAGCGGTTTTAATGGAAAGTTACGGGGTAATCAGTGGTAATTGATACTGCCTTCGTTTTATGTCGCTAGTGCCTAAATATTTTCCTTTCTTTCTTCGTCAACAAATAGCTACACGCCTTGCGGGTTAAAGCAAGTTTTTGAAGAAATAGCCTGTTGGTTATGGCCCATCACGTCTCAAAGGTTAGAGTGCAGCGAATGAACAGGTTGACTAAGCCAGAGACCCCTCTAAATCAAGAGATAATTAAATAGACGTTGACACACACATCGTTATACATAGACATTATACGAGATGCACGGTGTACTCATGTCTCACCGCCGTGCCGCCCTGCGTGCCGGCGGGCGTATAGCTCGGCCGACTACCGCGACCTGAACCGTGCCGTCCGCTCTGCCATTCGCCGTGATACTCGCGAGGGGATAGAGGACCGTATCAGGGAGCGCGGGCCGCAGTCTGTCTGGCAGAGCATTCGGAGTGTGGTGGGTGGGAAGCGCTCCGGTACATACCTCGGTGCTGCCTCAGCTATCCAGCGAGTTGCTGAACCGCTTTTTTTGTCTCTGTTGGACCACGAGTAGCTGCTGATGTAGCCGACCGGGGCCGGGGCGCGGTTCCACAGGTAGAGTGCCGTCTGCCCAGGGTCGGTGCCTGTGGTTTTAAGCTCTTACCGATTGACATCGACACTCTGACCAGCACATTGCTGAGTATGCGTAACTCTCCCGCTCGCGGCGCTGATGGTGTGTGTGTTCGGGCGCTGAAGGCTGCTTTCCCTGCCGTCGGCGTCGTTATCCTTCACAGCATCAACACTTGCCTCGTCCTGTCAGACTAACCAACCTCATGGAAACATTCCCTCGTCCATCCTATCCACAAAACCGGTGACCCACCCAACAACCCCTCTAACTTCCGCCCGATTTCCATCATTCCGATCATTTCCAAAATCGTAGAGAGGGTGGTTCATCGCCAACTTATACCTTGCATCAAACCACCTCTTATCCCCCAACCAGCACGGTTTCCTTCCTCACCACTCGACGGAAACCGCGCTGATTACTGTCTCCGACCACATCCTGACGGCTGACAGCCGCCGACGGTGGGGAAATCTCCCTTCTGTGCCTGATTGACCTTAGCAAGTGTTTTGACGTCATTGACCACGATATACTGATCAGTAAATTGCGTCTGGAAGGCATCGACAGTCGACACGGCGTGGTTTGAGGCGTAGGTACCTACGCGGTCACACGCAGAGTGTCGTCATGCGTGACGTCACGGGCGCCGAGCGAGTCTCGCCCCGCTCCCGACCGCCACGGGAGTGTTTCAGGGCAGCGCCCTCGGACCGCTGCTGTTTACGGTGTTCGCCAACGACCTGTCGCTACACGCCGCCGATGCTAGAGTGCTGCAGTACGCAGACGACACCCAGGTGATTGTCTCAGGCAAAAAGAGTGAACTCCCAGCACTCATCACTAGCATGGAAAACTCACTGGCTTCTCTGGACAAATGGTTCTGCGCGAACGCTCTCAAGGTCAGCGCAAACAAAACTCAACTCATTGCTTTCGGAAACCACCAGGAGTTGCGCAACCTTCCAAATTTCACAGTCACCTTCCGTGACCCAATTCTCGTCCCTTGTAACGAGGTCAAAAATCTGGGCGTTACGTTTGACAAAAACCTGACATGGGACAGTCACGTGGGTGCCGTCACCCAGCCCCCGTTCACGAGCTCCAGAATCCCTTTACCGTGACGTCACCACGGCGGCAGAATCTCCCTTCACCCATAGGCATGCATGCAAATTTCATCATCTTTCGGGCGAGCTGGAGAAAAAATCAAGGCTTATATGTCATCAAAAGATGTACCAATGTAACAATGAATAGGCCTCATTACGATAAATGGGACTGAAACTAAAAAAGTATGCCTATATCGAGCCTAAATCAGCAGTTCAAATCACCCCTTCATTTGAATGTGAAGGATTTCCTCTGATGACGTCACCACGGCGCCTTTATTTCCCTAGTGAACCAACCTGAGTAGTAAAGGAATCTTGCCGTCACCCGCCGCTGCACTGGGACCCTGATCGGTTTGT